GTAAGGCATTTTGCAGTCTAATAAATATAGCATATATTCCCTGTATATCTTTCTTACCTGAAAGCAATTGTCTTCTGTCAGTGTGTCCCAGTGACTTTTTCTGTCTCCTCTGCATTTAGGACGTCAGTGGACACAGCTAATTCTTGGTGTCTAGTGGGAATTGTTGCTTCTCATGGGTAATATTGGATTTATAATACCAAGGGACTTACAGTACCAAAAGCATGATGTGAAAAATACATTAAATATATACTAATATTTCAGTGATTGAAAGTCATCTACCCAATGGAAGCCACTATATTTCATTGATTCTAAGCTACCCTTTTCCCCCTCATATTTTAATATCTCTTGATACTGGAATGTGACTTAAAATCAATGGCATGTTGCAGTCATCTCATCCAGTGACCAGTAGTTGCTGTTATATCCTAATGTGCAAATATCAAAATCAGTAACACAGCTTAGAGTAAAATTCCAGAGACACCAGAGAAGGTGTCTCTTTTGATAAGGAGAAGACTCTTTAGATAAGGAGATGCTAAGTGGTTGTGGTGAGATAGAAGAGTGAGGAGTGGAAAATCACAGTAGTTTAACAACGCTTGGAAGCAAGAATTTAAAGTAGGTTGTACCTAATTACTGTACCTAGGCTCTCTTGAGAGCCTAGCATCAATTTTTAAATTTTTAAAATGAATTTATTTAAAAAAGCGCTGCAAAACTGATGTGCTTGGTGACACAGAAAATGAGATTCTGTGGAGAAAGGTGGACACTAATGATTATATGTCAAAGAGTGAGTGAGAGAACTACATTTGGATTTCTTCATGAACTTTAGGAATTGATTAAACCAACTTATTTTATGTTTTGTTTTTATGTCTGTGTCAGGGTGATAGATAGTGAAATACCCATATCTAATTAAGCCTACAGTTTTTTCTTCAATAAGAATAAAATAAAAATTCTAAAAAGTATATCAGTTTAATTAGCAGTTTTTTCCTTAATGCTTCATAGAATAATGATATTACTTTATTGAAATATTTTTTTCTATCTCCGTATAATCCTTTTTGTTAGGGGATATTTTTTCCCTTTTAAACTCTATGTGCTAATGTAGAATGGCTTTAAAATGTCGCCTTTTAATTCGGTGTTCAATTTTTTTTTTTTTTTTTTTTGCCACTTTGCCAGTTGACCTTGTAAATTTTACACTCTATGAACAGACTTTTTCCTGTATGTAGTTTCTTGCTATGGAAAATGCATTGGAAAATATTTGCCAAGGGAATTCAAATATATTAAACATGAAAGACAAACAATTGTCAGTAAAATTGGTGTTAGGAGAACTTTTGCTATGCTATTAAATGCTGCATACTAGAGAGTACATTAAAAAAAGACCCTAAGGGTAATCGCAAAGACCGAATAAGTTGTGTTATAAATGTGGTCAAATTTTAATGTGTTGTATATTAAATATACTGATGCATATTATGAAAAATCAGTCTCATTAAAGCTTCTTTTTTTGTTCACATTAAACGAGAGGAAAATGTAATGAAGTTAATTTAAAAATGTTATGAGGAATATGAAGGTGTCTTATCATAGTGTTAGTTTTGTCATTTATATTTGCCAACTTTTTTTTTGGGATAGAGCCTTGCTCTATTGCCCATGCTGGAGTGTAGTGGCACGATCTCAGCTCACTGAAACCTCCATCTCTCAGGTTCAAGTGATTCTCATGCCTCAGCCTCCTGAGTAGCTGGAATTATAGCTGTGTGCCACCACGCCTGGTTAATTTTTTTGTGTTTTTGGTAGATACGGGATTTTACAATAATTGCCCAGGCTGTTCTCAAACTCCTGATCTCAGGTGATCTGCCCATCTTGGCCTCCCAAAGTGCTGGCAGTATTTTGCCAACTCTTTGGAAAAGATATCTAATGTATCTCGTTTTGCAAAAGAAATGGAAATGTGAGATTTACCAGTTAATTAATTAATTATTGAAGAAAAGGATTTGACTGCATTTGAGTTTAAATGGGTATAAGACTGTTTCAAGTTACTATTGCTGTTCATTTAGAAATAACAGGTGAGTTTTTTTATTTTTATTTTTCAGTATTAGCGATAATAAGAAAACATTACCCTCTGAAACAATAACAGTATAAAACATTTACAACCTTAAAATTGTGTTTTATATGTAAGAACATCTTGGTTTAAGAAGTCTCCTGCTTGGGTGCAATGGCTCATACCTATAATCCCCAGCACTTTGGGAGGCCAAGATGGGAGGATCACCTGAGGTCAGGAGTTCTCTTTTATTCTGGGGGAGACACTTCCTTTGCCATTTTTGTCTGTCATGGTCACCACATTTGGTCAGCTCTTTTGTAGACTGCTCCTCAAATTGGGTTTGTCTGATATTTCCTCATGATTAAACTCAGGTTCTGTCTTTTAGGCAAGAATATTATAGAATGATAGAGTGTCCATTTCAGTGCATCATCTGAGATGACATGGTGTTGTGCCCAGCTTACTTGTTTTCTTTCTTCTGTTATCAACATGCACTCCACTGCTAAGAATGCCAGCTCTTTGCCTTCGTGCATCTAATTATATTTATTCTTCAAGACTTACCCTTTTAAATGGTTTTCTCTATTTGCTGCACTTCATTTGATCTCTCACTTCCTTGCTTTCCTTTTGCCATTATACTCAGTAAAATCTTGACATCCTTATGGCTTGAGAGTCTGTATTATCATGTTGTAGGAGTCTTACCCACTGTTGCTCCCAGGAGACCTTTCTGCTTTATTTCCTTGCGACACTCAGACTTACTATACCAATTTATTTTTTCCAAACATGCTCTCGATAATCACTATGGGTTAAGTTGTACCAAAGTTTGGCACTTAATTATTCTTTTATTTATTGAAAGTTAATTTTATCTTCTAATTAGGTGGTATCTTCTTGCCAGCATGGACAGTCCTACAGATTTTTTTTTTGGCATTACTTGGAGAGAGAAACACATATTTTTAATAGTATGTTGATTCAGTGTTTCTAATATAGATTGTTAATCCTTAGATTTTTCACTAATTTAAGGTGAAGAGGGGAGGAAAAAATTGGGTACAACCATGTTTAGGAAATGCTTTAAAAGTGATTACTAGAAGAAAGTGCACTTAGTTTTCTTGTTCTTATATTCTTTCTTATCTCTAGTATCAGTGCTAAAAGTAACTGTTGGTAAAGAAGTGAAAATTGTCAAAACAAGACTGTGATTAATAATCTCAAAGCCAAAAGGAGATTATAAATTCAGAAAATGACAGTTGTAATATGGAAATCCAGTATTAGTTTATAGTTGATTATCAATTTTATACAGAAAATGATACGTGATAAGAAAAACTCTTCCTAGGATGAAAATTTCTTTATAGTTTTAATGACTCTATCATTGAATTATTTCAAATTGTGATACTATTTTCTTCCTAAGAGCTTATTGATGTGTCCACATTCTATTCCAATAATGGTCCTAAGATTACAGGTAGGATACTGGGACACTAAAATAATAACAATATTTTGTCAGAGACGACCAAACTTGTTAGATGCAGAGACAAGGCCACAACTAGATTTTCTGGTTGGGTAGATTTACTCTCCTCCTACCTTTCCCCATTAGACTGAATTTTTATTAACCAAATAGGCTTTCTCAGGTATGGGGACTTGGAATATGCTGTTGTAATCAGACAGCATGAGCTAACATGTTTTAGAAATGTACTTGACTTCATTTTAAAAAGAGAACATTTATGATTTCTCACTATATCATAATGCAATATGAATAAAGTCCTTTCCAAGTTTCATGTTTGTGAGGAAACTGCAGATGAGTGACAGGGCAGAGAAATGACCCTATTATCTCTGTAATGGTAATAGTGTGCTTCACAGGGGAACTTGTGTCGTTAAGAGTGAGTTATTTTCTTGCAGATGCTTTCTGCACAAGCTATTAATATATTAAATCAGAAGGAATTGGAAAGTGCTGTCTAGGGACTTAGGAATATAATTTATAAGTTTCAGTGTTCACCTTTACTTGAAATATCATGTAAATCTGTTTTTGTAGATGTATGCACAAGCATTAACATGGTTTCATGCATCAATTTCTTTGTACATATCTTTTCTTTCTATATGGAATGTCCTTTATCTTTCTTGTGTCAAGTCCCTCTGTCTGTAAGACCTGCAGCAGTTGTGTGATCTGTGATGAAACCTTTTATCCCTGTAACCAACTTATTGCTTCCCTTTTTATTCTCAGAGCAGTTGGTTCCCATTGCTATATTATATTTTCATTTGTTGTCTGATAAATCTCTTTCCATCTTCATAACTCACAGTTGAGTGTGTGCTTCTCAATGGCAATTCAGTTTTCAATTCATATTCCAGCATCTTGCATGATGCCTGCATATATTGAGTATGCAGCAACTATTAAATGAAAAATGTATATTAAATATAGTATATATATATATATTATTTACATACCTCGCCTCCTTCAAGAATGTGTTTAAGATGGACTATAAGCAATATAGCAAATTAGAAGAAAACTGGAAGACAAAAAGAGGAGGATGGGAAATAGAATGGGGCCAAGGATGAACTAATTCACACGATGAATCTCTAAGTGAATGTGTAGTGTGAATGAGTGCGTTTGCATGTACAAGGAAGCGTATATGTGGAAACTTACAATATACATTAAAAAAAAAATCTATCCTGTTTGATAATTGCATTTTTACAATTTTGGCTTTGAAACGATTTCTTGTTTTTCTAAGTTGTTCATTTTGTCACTATATATCTGGTGCTAAATGGTTTCTCTGAGGAATGCTTTATTAGTCCTAAGATTCTAATGTGATCAGCATGTGGTGAAATGGAGTGGTGTGAGTTAGTCCCACTTCTGTGAACACAGGAATCTGTAATATGACTGTTTATGGTGCTCTTTAGCTTCTGAAGATTTCGTGTTCTAAATTCTGTCACCTGCACTCTTTTAGAAAGCACATAGCTGTGGGGTAGGAATGCAAGAAAGCTAACTGGAAATAACAAACTTTTCCTGGAATAAATATGTTTTAAATTAAATTTAACTAAGAAGTACCTGTGGCCGGGCGCGGTGGCTCAAGCCTGTAATCCCAGCACTTTGGGAAGCCGAGGCGGGTGGATCACGAGGTCAAGAGATCGAGACCATCCTGGTCAACATGGTGAAACCCCGTCTCTATAAAACTACAAAAAATTAGCTGGGCATGGTGGCGCGTGCCTGTAATCCCAGCTACTCAGGAGGCTGAGGCAGGAGAATTGCCTGAACCTGGGAGGTGGAGGTTGCGGTGAGCCGAGATCGCGCCATTGCACTCCAGCGTGGGTAACAAGAGTGAAACTCCGTCTCAAAAAAAAAAAAAAAAAAAAAAAAAGAAGTACCTGTGAATTCTAGCTTGCTCTCCAGGTGACTTATTTGCCAAATTTAAATAAATTGACAGATTAAAATTAATTCTTATTCTCCTGTTCTCAAGATTACATTTAAGCAAATCTCAGAAGTTTTTTTTTTTTTTTTTTTTGGTTTGTTCTTAATATAATAATCTTCTTGAGTCTTATTCTCAGTATGGTATTTTTAAAATAAAGAATGAAACTTTGTTTGCTTTGTTGTTCCTTAGCTAATTGTTAAAATAATGAGGCCTTATTATTTTGGGTAATTTATTTAAGACAATAGAGCAATTAGTTGCTTACTGGCAACCTGACAAAGGAAGTGGGGCAAGATGCCAACCCATTTCTTTTGGCCTACCAGCCCTTAGAGTTGTGTGTTCCAGGGATTTGCTAATCACCAGCTGGCAACTGATTTACAAGGCGGGAAAGACAGGACTCTTGAATGGTGCCCACTTACAAGTAAGATGGAGTGTGTACTGGCGTTAAGCCTCATCCGTTGGCATTCAGATCTTGCTGCCAGGGGAAAGACTTGATGATGGCAAAGAGCCTATGTGCTATCTCTTTGGTGTGTTTGTCCGATGTCATCAGCATTGTTCTTGACCCTCACTTTGGTTTAGCAATTAAGACTTGCTAAGGAGAATATACTACTCCAGTGGTATATGTCTGTCTCCCTGTCTATTTGTCCACCTGCCTGTCCATTCATCTCTCCATTTGTCTGTCTGTCCGTCCATCCATCCATCCATCTATCCAGTGAATACTGGGTTTAAGCCATTAATGAATGGGCTGAGAATTAACCTCTGAAAGCATTGTTTATAGTTGAGGCTGGCAGTCTTTTTCTGTAAGGGAACAGGTAGTAAATATTTTAGGTTTGCAGACCATGTTGTCTCTGTTGGAACTAGTCAGCTCTGCTGTTGTAGGATGGAAACAGCTGCAGACACGGTGTAACTCAATGGCATGGTTATGAGCAAATGAAATACTGTTTATAAAAAATCAACTTGCTGCTATAGTTAGCCTACCCCTCATTTAGACAGTGGAAGTATCTGACTCAATATAGTTGGGGAGCTACACAAAAACTTTCAAAGAAGTGCTTTAATGCCTATAAGTTTTCTAATACTGTTTTATGTTCTAGGTTTTTAACTTAATTATTGTCTGTTTTGGGATTTACCTCAAAAAGTAATTTTACAGATTTTACTGTTTTTTTATTTAAACATAGTAATCATTTAGAAGATATTTAGCTCTGACACTGGTTATAGAAATGTCACTGGATTGGAAATATACAAAAAAAACCAAGGAATAAATTCACTACTGTATCACCCATAAAGCATCATTACATTTAATGGTTTTTACTTATAAACATGATTTTAAAAACTACTTTGACATGGAAACATGGTCAAGATATATTGATGAGGTAAAAAATGCAGATTGTAGACGATTTCTGAACAGGATGTATGATGTGATTCTATTTGTGAAAAGAAAGAAAAAATGTTGGTGGAGAAAATGAACAAAAGGAAACAAAAGTTTTTTGCAGTATTTCTGCTGATAGTATTTTCACATACGAATTCAAGAAGAGCTAGGCATGGTAGCTCATGCCTGTAATCCCAGCATTTTGGGAGGCTGAGGGTGGCAGGAGTTTGAGATCAGTCTGAGCAACATGGTGAAACCCCATCTTTACTAAAAATACAAAAATTAGCTGAGTGTGGTGGCACATACCTATACTTCCAGCTACTTGGAAGGCTGAGGCAAGAGAATCACCTGAACCCAGGGGTCAGAACTTGCAGTGAGCTTAGATCGTGCCACTGAACTCCAGCCTGGGCAACAGATGAGACTCTGTCTCAAAATAATATAATAATAATAGCCAGGCACGGTGACTCACACCTGTAATCCTAGCACTTCGGGAGGCCGAGGCAGGTGGATCATCTGAGGTCAGTTCAAGACCAGCCTGGCCAACATGATGAAACCCCATCTCTACTAAAAATACAAAAATTAGCCTGGTGGTAGTGGTGTGTGCCTGTAATCCCACCTACTTGGGAGGCTGAGGCGGGATAATCATTTGAGCCTGGGAGGCAGAGGCTGCAGATTGTACCACTGTACCCCAGTCTGGGTTCACAGAGTAAGACCCTGTCTCAAAACAAACAAACAAACAAACAAACAAACAAACAAACAAACAAACAACTCAAGAGGGCGTTTCAGCATAACTGGGTTATCAACTTCCTACTCAATTTTATTTTGAAATTCAGTTTATAATTTTCTCCTAGATTCAGCCAACTGTATATTGCATGTACTTGGTTGGGCAGAGAAGTCATAAAATGGTTTTCTCTCAGATACCAGTGGCTTCCTTTGGCTTGCTAGAGCTGATTCATTTTTTCTTTTTGAGGTCTGCAGTATTCAGTTTTGAAAATTAAGGTGTTGTTAGTGGCTATGATTGATGAAGTGTTCATAGATGTAAGGTGAAAAAATAGAATGTACTTTAAAAATTGGCCCTACTATTTTGTCTCCTATTTTTTGAATCCCCATAAATTTGCTACTTTTTAGAAAATTGATCTGAGAACGTAATTTGATTTAATAAAATTTTATCACCTGTATTAACAATTTTTAAGAACAATTTTAGAGTTACAGAAAAAGTATGAACATAGTACGAAGTTCTTAGATACCACACACACATAGTTTGTCTTATTAACATCTTACATTAGTAGAATATAATTATTATAGTTAATAAACCAATATCGATATGTTCTTAATTGACTAAGTTCATTCTTTATTAAGATTTCTTTTGTTTCTAAAGTTTATTTCTTTTGTTCCAAGATAGCTGATTTTTATACATTTATATTGCATTTATTCATCTGTGTGGTAATGTCATAGAGCCATATCATAAGTGCTATTTCTATTTTAAGTAATATAAAATTTAGATAAACAATAAATAAAGCTTTGCTACAATGAGGTTCTTAAATTCTTTTATGCACAAGTGTTACCTCAGAAAAAAATAACGTTGTTTATTTTTTTTCCTGTTCTGTATTTAGTGGAACAGGTTCCTGTAGAATCGTACAACATCCCACTGTCCCAGGCCGAAGTCATACAGGAAGGGAGTGACGTTACGCTGGTTGCCTGGGGCACTCAGGTGAGTAGCATTGATTCCAACTGTTAAAACCTATGTTGTGCTTGGAAGCTCTCATTTTAAATCCTGATACATGAAAAATGGAAAGCAATGTTTTCTGTATATCTCAGATTAAGTCTGGTGCTACTGATGCTCATTTCTTTTTTTCCCCAACTTTATTGAGGTATAATTGACTAAAATTATATATATTCAAGGTATATATGTGATGATTTGATATATGTATACTTTGTGAAATGATTACCATAATCAAATTAATTAATGCATCCATCAACACACATATTTACTATTGTGTGTGTGTGTGGTTGGGGGTGGTGGTTAGAACACTTCAGATCTATTATTTGCTCCAGTCACTGTGCTGTGTATTAGATCCTGAGAACCTCCTCATCTTATAACTGAAGGTCTGTAGTACTGATTTCTGAGTGAAGGTGAGGTGTATTTATATTAAACTGTAAGCATGTGGTAGTCATAAATATGTTGCAACAGTGTATTAAGTAAAAACACATTTCTTTTGAAGTATATTTATACCCACGTTACTTTTGCTGCAAATTACTTATAATCTTTTTCATCACATTTCCTGCCATCTCTCATGGTTACTTTGCTGGCCATGTGGACCCATCCTCTGATCCAGACTCAGAATTCTATATCTTTCTTTTTTTCCAGTGACCCTCTCCACTGATCCAGTTCATTTCCCCCCAGGCTTGTTGTCACATTGCTCTACCTCCCAACTTTCTCTCTGGCCATGAACTCCTATTTCTTCCACTTGTCTCTCTCCTTCTTTTAAAGATACGGTCAATTTTTCTTTTTCTGTATAAAGGAAATCCTTATTTTAGGAACTTTAGGGCAACACAATATAAAGAAGATAATAAAAATAGATTTCAATATCACAAGCTCCTGCTCTCCTCTCCTTTTGATTTTTGGCGTGGAGAGCTATGGTCCTCATGGTTTCTCTCCATCAGTGAGGTAACTGTGCTGCTTGGTGAGTTGTATTCCATTGACAGTGCCCTTGGAGGCTGTGGCAAACCTTTTTGCTGTCCTTCAGTCCACTTTTTAATCCACATCTCTGTTACTCTCAGCTCATGACCTTACTTCTCTTTTCAGTAGGGAAGTTAGGGTGTATTAGGTATTAACTCACATGGCTTGCTCTTCCTTTTGCTTTTAATTCTTTTCTTCTCTTTGTCTTTGAAGAAGAGGTGTCTGGTTTTCATAATGACCTCTGCAATATCTGTTTCAGACTGCATTCCATTTTATCTTCTCGAGGACTGTGATCTATTAGCTAGTCTCTCTCTCACTTTGCATCTTCAGTTTTCCATTTCTTGTTGCTGTTATTCAAAAAGTTCGTCTCTCTTCACTAAAGAATTCCTCTCACTGTAAATACCATTGCATCTCCTTCCTTTTAACACTGAACTTGAACAACTGTTTTCTATTGTCTATATTTAATTTCTTAACTTCATTATATTCTTGTACCTGTGAGTTCCATTCCCACTAATTTACTGTTTTTGTCAATGTTACTAATTTAGTTGTTTAAATTCAGCTCTTATTCCTGCTATGGTATGTGATACTGGCTGCCATCCCTGTAAAATCTTTTCAGCTTCTGGAATATACTGTCTCTTGGTTTTCTTTCTAGCTCTTTAATTGTTCTTTTTATCCCCCTTTTTTTCTTTCTTTCCCTTCCTCCCTCCCTTCCTCTCCTTTCTCCTTCCTCTCCTCTTGCTCCATTTTTTTCCTTAAATGTTGGCAATTTTTGCTCTTCTCCCTCTACATGCTTTCTACCTACTGGTGTGACTGTTTACCTTCTGTGTGCCATCTTTGTAATCAGTATCTGTGGTACTCACTTCTCTCTTTTTCTCTAAGCACCTCTTTCCATCTGTTTTCTAGATGTCTATACTTATTATTTTGGCAGAATATGAGATTCAACATATTTAAAACAAATTTATGAATTCTCCATGCAGATCAATTCCTGAAACTTTAAATACTATTTCTAATAGTGATGTCAGAATTCAGCTAGTTTTTCAGGCTGGAACCTTTGTAGTCATTCTCTGCATAATTTTCTCTTTATTTCAGGTTCATGTAATTCGGGAGGTAGCTTCCATGGCAAAAGAAAAGCTTGGAGTGTCTTGTGAAATTATTGATCTTAGGACTATAATACCTTGGGATGTGGACACAGTTTGTAAGGTATGAATGTAGTGGTGATAGAATGTCATTTTTCTAAAACCTTTGGCCAAATATGTTGTATATTTGCAAATAATTCTTTTGAAATTGTGAGCTATATGAGCATTTTCAAGTGATCTAAAACTTTTGAATTTGCAACATGAAAGAAAGTTATATAAACAGCTTCATGCTCAAGGAAACAAATCACTGTATAATTTTCTATTTCCCTCCAGTAGTTTTCTCTGTTTAAAATATTGCAAAACTGAGTCCATGCAGTCACCTTGGGTTGAGTTGTGTGAGTCATGGAGCATATCAAGGATACCAATGGCACTTGTGTTTTTGGCTTCTTATTGGTTATGGTTCAGTAATCTAGGTTTAATTTAGGTAAATGAAATGGTTTGGCTGAATTTTCATTTATCTCCAAAAGTAATGGTGATGGATTTTTTTTAAAAAATGACTCTGTATGTCGTCTTAATACTGTGGATTACAGTTTAAGACTTATGTGGAGATTCTGGCTGCTCTAATTTACAGTTTCTGTCTAAATAGTCTCATGACCTTTGGCCTGATTACATTGATCTTGTTGTTACTATTAAGATTTACAAAGCCAATTCCCTCTTAAGAATATAGTTTAGTTCTTATTTACCTGTTTATATCCAATATCTTTCATATCAATTTCAAGATAATTTAAGAAGTATATATTTTCATATTGATACAAAGAAGGTTAAGCACTCTTTTTGTAATAGTGTGATCAATTAAGACTAACTAAATGTAATTGTAAATTATATGTACCTAGTCTTAATAGATTAGTACAGTAGATACATGTCTAACTGATACATGTACAATTACATATATAATTGTGAAAAATAATACATGTCATTGTCTAGGTAACAGTGACATGTATTATTTTTTCTTGATTTACTGCTATAGTCCTAAGACCTAGGCTATTTTATATTTACCACTTTTAAGAGCTTTGGCATTCTCATAGCTTTTGCAGGCTATTTCTTGGGTTAGTTAATGAAAATAATCTGCAGATACTACTGCTATAAAACAGGCTATTTCTTTGGTTAGTTATATGAAAATAATCTTCAGGTACTACTGCTATAAAAGTATAGCCTGGGATTTTTTTAGGTGAAGAGTGTTTTAAAATTTAGTAGAAGATGTAAGATTTCTTATAGTAAATGTTTCTGAAGACTCACTTGACACCATCTAAACACTTGACATGCTTACAAATGGCTTCAACAATATCCTGAGCCCTTCTATTTGTAGTTGCTGTAATTAAGAGCACTATTTCAGATTGAGTTATCATAGCTACATAAAAATAATTTAATGCTTATTGTAGGCATTTTCAAATCAAGTCAGACACCAGGTTTTCTTTCAAATAGCCAAATGTTCCAAATTATAGTTAAACCAGAGTTGGCTTCTTGTTTGCAGCATGTATTCACTATTTATCCTGGGGTTTGCATTTTTAGTGTAGATGGTGCTTCTGTATGGGGATATGATATTTTCTCATGGCGCAGTGCGGGAGTGTTCATATATAGTCAGGGCAAGCACTTTTATGACTTTATTTACGTGTGTGTGTGTGTGTGTGTGTGTGTGTGTGTGTGTGTGTGTCTACACCTTAAACATTCAAAAAAGATTTGTAGCAGCTTATGGTAAAGCACAAGTATACAAAGAGAGGAGAGGTAGGAGAAGAAAAAAGGGAGAAATTGTCTATATTTATGTTGATATCAGTTTGCTTTTTCATCACTGTATTGAATCTACTGGTTACATCTTTGTCTGATCCTAGAATGCAGATACATTTTCCTTAGGGCTCTATCCTACTGGGAAAGATGAAAGAGGAGACAGGCTATCTCTACTGAATGAGAAAGTGATGCATCAGACCTCTGACTTATTAGTGTCATTATTTTATTTTGTTTTGGGATGCTTTCATCATGTTATTTTTCCAGTTGATGACCCTCCAGTTGTGACAGTGAAAGCCAGCTTCTTGACTGCTTTGGGTCCAGTTGAGACTCTTTTCATTGCTGATGATATTACCTCTCCTATTTTCTTTTGATGTATCAAAAGAGGGAAAATTTTGATATTTAGCTTTTTCCTCTTAGGATTTAGAGATGACCAAATATTTATATTGAAAATGAGGATTTTTTTTAACCCCCAGAGTGAAGCTTTTTAAATTCATCTTGATGAATTCTATAGTAACCAAAATTTATGTTATAATCTCTTTTAATTAGTTGTGTTTTATCAGTTGTTTTGTCTTATGACTCATTATTTCCTCAGTTTTATTCATTACGTGTCAACTAAACCCCAGTATGTATCTTTTGGAGTGCCTAATTGAGAAAAGAAAGCATATTAAAGGCAAAAATGATGGTTGAACACATACATTAACACTCTGCACAGTAAAATGATTCTTGGACACTTGAGGAATTCATACTTCTTGCTTAATCCTTGATGCATGGTTTGGAAGTTATAAACCAAAATAAATAGTTGCTCAGGAATGGAGAAAGCAGCAGAGTTTTTGAATGTTGCTCAAGGGAGTTACAAAATTACAGACTTAAATGGGCCTAGAAACCACAGCTAGTTTTTCCACTCAATTCTGAACCCGATAGTAAAAAGCTGAGCTGGAGACTTCTGAAAAACACAGTAGAAAATTCTTGAGTTTGAGGTGCCTAAGAGATAGAGACCTACCCTGTCCCATGGGTGTGTGATGTGTGTGTGTGTGTGTGTGTGTGTGTGTGTGTGTGTGTAAGTGGAGTGGCTTAACAGAATCAGCTATGAGAGTTCAAAGCCCTGAAATGAGCGACAGATTGACACTGATGACCTATCACTGCTTTTTAGTTGGTGACACTTGCTATTTGGTCTCAATCAGGTGTATAGAATCCAGGTGTATAGAACCCATGTTTTGTGGGGCTGTAGTGACAGAATTGAAATTTGAGGGGATTTAAACACATACTTGACCTTTCTGTCAAGATATTTACCAAATTCTAAAGCTGTGAATGGTGAAAAGTAAGCAGAAAATATCTGGATAGTGAAGCTATCACTTGATAATGCAGCAACAAAGACCAATCATACTCTCAATTGAAAGCCATAGAGAGTTAGGTCTTATAATTAGAGTCAAAGCACATGTAGACCAGGTCATCTCAAACTCACAACACAGCCTCTACCCCTCTGAGTTTCTTAGTGAATTAATGTACCTTTACTCTATCTGCCCAGCAGAGCAAGGAGTCAATCCTCTAATTATCTGGAACTTCTATGAACCAGCATTCAATAAAAAAATTGCTAAGTAGATGAAGAGACAGGAGTATTTGATCAATAGCAAAGAGGAAACAAACAAAAAAAGAAACAGCTGATCCAGCTATTGGAGTTAGTAGACAAGGACATCTTGATTGTTATGCTTAGGAACATAGAGAAAAGAAGGAACAAAAGAGGTAAGAGGTTGGAGAATTACCCTAGAGAATTGGGGGTGTGTGTGTGTGTACATGTATGTATATGGATCAATTAAACTCTGCGGAGCCATCAAAAATATATATATCTGACAATAAGAACTCAATGGATGAGTTTATGACATATTAGACTCAGTAGATGATAGCAATAATGACCTGGAAGGGTAGCTAATAGAATATGTTCAAATTGAAGCAGAAGTCAGAAAAGAGGATAAAGCACATTTGGGATCTGGTCAAAAGATCTGTTTTATATACGATTTAATTCCAGAAAAAGAAGAGAGAGAAAATCAATCAGCAACAATATCTAAAAGAATTTCTTGGGAAAGTTTCAGAACATCATTACACAAGCTTTGTTAACCTTTAAGAAGATTGTGTTAAAAGAAAACCACACCTACATACACAGTGGCATGACATCTTAAATTTCTGACTACGCTAGCCTAGAATTCTATACCTAGTGAAAATATCTTTTTTAAATGAAGATGAAATAAAAATAGTTAAGGCAAACAGAAATTGAGAGAATTATTGCTAGCCGGTCTCAGTAAAAGAAGGTACTGCAAGGGAGCTCCCTTCGGCAGAAGGAAAATGATCCTAAGAGAAAATACAGAGGAGAGCATAACCTGTAGCCCAATATTGATTGTCTGAAAAAGTTGTGATAATTTTCTGTGAAGTTTAAGTTAAATATATGGAATTGAAATGTAAGACAATAAACACAAAAGCCAGGGGTTTTACATAGAGTTAAAATATTCTGTTTTTCTAGGATTATTATGAAGTGTAATGTTCTGATTAGGTTATAATCAATGATACAAATTATAATTGCTAATGTAACAACTGAAATAACAATGAAAGAATGCATATCTAGCAAGTTAATAAGAGAACTATAAAGTAATAAAAATATTTAGTTAATCCAAAAGAAAGAAAAGTAGTAAGGATAAAAAAGTGGATGGATCAATAGATAACAGATAACAAGATGATATAAACCCAAATATAGAAGTAATTAAATACAAAAGGATTAAATAAACTTAGTAAAAGTCTAAGATCCTCAGACTTCATTAGAAAAAACAACTACTGACACCACACATAGCTTAAAAAGGCATACTTTAAATATAAGGACATCAAAATGTTGAAAATAAAGGGATGGAAAAAGAAAGCTGGTGTAGATATACTAATTTCAAATAAAGCATTAAGGCAAAAAGGATTACTTGAATGAAGAGGGGCATTTCATAATGCCAGAGGGACCAGTCCACCATGAAGATATCTCATAATCCTATTTTGTCCTCAATAATATAGTTTTAAAATAAAAAAAGCAATAAACTAAACAAAGAAAACACAGAACTCAGAAGAGATACGAACACATTCATAGTTACAGCAGGAGATTTTAAGACATTCGTCTTAAATGTTGCTTAATCAAGCAGACAAAATATTGTTATGTGTATAGAAGATCTGAACAAAACAATTTGTAAACTTGTCCTAATTGTGTACCAAGCTATTCCAGAAATCATTCTTTTTAATAGAATATGTAGCATTTATCAAAATGGCCAAATGCTGGGCAATAAATACAACCTTAAAAAATTACAAAAGCTTAGAATCATTTAGAGTATGTTCTGTAACAATAGTGGATTTGGTTAGAAATCAAGAGAAAGAAAAGGACAACTGGAAAAGCTTCAACTTCCTACAAATTAAGTACTTTACTTCTTTTTCTTTTTTTTTTTTTGAGACAGAGTTTCACTCTTGTTACCCAGGCTGGAGTGCAATGGTGCGATCTTGGCTCACCGCAACCTCCACCTCCTGGGTTCAAGCAATTCCCCTGCCTCAGCCTCCCAAGTAGCTGGGACTACAGGCGCACGCCACCATGCCCAGCTAATTTTTGTATTTTTAATAGAGGCAGGGTTTCACCATGTTGACCAGGATGGTCTCGATCTCTTGACCTCATTATCCACCCACCTCGGCCTCCCAAAGTGCTGGAATTATAGGCGTGAGCTACTGCACCTGGCCCAAGTACTTTACTTCTAAATAACGGTAGATTACAAAAGAAACTAAAACAAAAATTAGAAAAGAGGCTGAACTGAATGTTAATAAAGATATAATATATCAAAAATTTCAAGGAGCAGCGCAAGCCATTCTCAGAGGAAACTTTATAGCTGTAAATACATAAATTTGGGAAATAATAAGAATTAAAAAAAAATTTATGATCTGAATTTCCATCTCCAGAAAGAAAATCAAACCTAGAGAAAGTAGAAGAAATGAAATAATAAAGAGTAAAAATTACTGAAGTTGAATCTGTAGAATAGAGAAATTTAATAAAGTAAAAATTTAGATCTTTGAAGAGATTAATGTAATTGATAAACTTTTAACTAATGGAAAAAATAGAGCAGAAACAAATGACAAATATTTGTTTGTATGATGTAGAGCCCACAGACAGTGGTAATATAAAGGGGATGTTATGAATTATTTTATAAATAAGTTTTGAGTAAAGCTGACAATTTCCTGGAAAAACATAAATCATTCAACATTGATACAAGGGAAATTAGTAAATCTAAATAGTTGTGATCTATTAAAAAAATTAAATGTTATTAACTCCATACAAAGAAAACCCCAGGCCTAAATGGCTTTATTGGTGAATTATCTAAAATATAGTCCTTATGCACACCCTTACTGTGACATGGTAATTGCCCCATAAACTGCATACCTCGACCATACCTTGGCTTTCTGTTGAAACTGCCCTCTATAACCCTAATGTGAAAGGCAAGCAGTCCAAACCTACGCCATCTTGGCCCCCAGAACTTGTAATAAGTAACTAAGGTCTGTAATTTCCACCCTACCCAGACAATGTATAAACTAACGCTTATCTTGACTTCTGTAAACCACTTAATAACAATTGGAATGTCCAAAGTCCACTGGTCCTCGGAATGTTGGAAGCCCCTCGCCCTCACCCCCGCCCAAGAGGTGTTGTATGGGCATAAAAGGTCTTGACACCCTGCTTTCGGGGCCACGGGTTAGAGAGACTTGAGTCCTCCGTGGCCACCAGCAATAAAGACCCTGTAATTTTCTCTAGGCTTTGTCTCAGTGGTGATTTCATGCTCGCTTGGTTACAACATTACGGAGAGTGGAATCCAAGGGAAAACTTCCAAATTTTTTTTTATAAGGCCAGCATAATCTTAAACCTATTTAGGATAGTATAAGAAAGGAAAATTATAGACAACTTTTAAAATATATGTAGATCACGTAGGTAATGTTCATAAATATTTACAAAGCAGTTGATGCAATTCTTCATATTAACAGAAAACAGATAAAGAAAAACTCTGATTATCTCGATAATGCAAGAGAAGTATTTATTAAAATTCAGCATTTATTCATAATTAAAATTTCGTAGCAACCTAGAAATGGAAGTTAATTATCTTACTGTGATGAAAGGGTAGCTGCAAAATGCCTGCAGCAAAAATTATAATTTCGACAGCTTTCCTCTTGAGATTAGGACTATCTAGGAAAAAATTTAGTGATACTTACATCAGAACTTTGCACAGAAAATCACAAAATATTATTCAGGAAAATTAAAGACCCATAAACTAAAGCATATAGCGTGTTAGTCAATTTAAGGCCAAGAAGAGCCAGAGCAATCTTGAAGAAGAACAAAATTGGAAGACTTAATTATTAAATGTTGAGATGTGTTATTAGGGCTGTAGTAATTATAATATTATATAGGTATAAAAATACACAGATAGACCAATGTAATAAAATAGGTGTCTAGAAACAGACCTGCTGGTTATCTGATTCAGGACAAAGGTGACTTTGAAATTTTGAGAGGAAAAGGTAGTTTTTTTCCAATAGAGGATGTTGATTCATTTAGGTACTATGAAAAATAATTGTATTAACTCTTACCACACAAACATCAATTTCAGCTGAGCTGCAGATCTAATTGTGAAAGAAAAAAAAATAACGCTCTTGGGAGAAAGCACAGGTGAATATGTTCATGTGATCTTCTGCACTAATGAAACACTCACATTAAGAAAAGGCTGATAACATTGTGCTTTATCACAATTAAGAAAATTTATTCATCAAAAGGGCACCAATAAGAGAGTAAATAGATAATCTACAGATTTGGGGAAACTCAAGGAAACTTACATCCAGAAATATCAAGTACTTTTACAATAAAAAAGAAAAGACAAATATCCAATAGAAATACGGGGAAAAGAAAAGGTACACTAAATGTTGGCAAGAATGTGGAGCAGCAATTCAACTCTCATAGACTATTGTTGATAATATAAATTTGTACAACCATTTTGGAAAATTGTTTGGCAGTATCTATCTGAACCCTGTAAACTAGCAATTCCAATTCTTTATGTGTATATATGAAGAAATATACAAAAAAATAAACACAGAAATGTTCATGGGAAGATTATTTCTGCTAGCCCCACACTGTAAACTGACTACTCATCAACTAGAGAATGGAGCAATAAGAAGTAAATGTAATATTGTTCAGCAATGAGAATAAATGAACTAAAAATGTAATGGAATATTGTGTATTCATCTCACAAACACAAAGAAGCCAGACTCAAGTAAGTACATACTGAAAGATTTCATTTATATAAAGGTCGAAAATAGACAAAACTAATTGATGGTGTTAGATGTCAGACTAGTGATAATCATGAGAGTGGTTAATTATTGGAGCAGTGCTAGGGGGTTGCTGGTGACAGTTTCTTGTTCTCAGTGCTGATTATTTAGGTTAAATTTTTGAAAATTTAGCAGAACACTCGGTGCACCTTTTTTTTGCATATATATTGAACTTCAACAAAAAGTTTTTTAAAAAATAAAAAGAAGCTACATCTTCTGTTTAATTCATTTCCTTTCTTCACATTGTAGTGAGCCCTTGTATGGACTCAGGGAGAGCCTTGGTGTCCTTAGCCAGGAAGTTTCCTTTTATCATGCGGCTCTGTCCACACCCTTCCTTCAGTTTCTCTGGGCAACTCAGCTCAGTTGTCATGCTGATGAGAAACAGGAGCTCATAAGCAGGGCTGTTCTCTCCTAAGCCTTCCCAGGAGTAAGAACAGTGGTTAAGGTTATGGGCTTTAATGGACTTTCCTGCTGACATACAGACCACATTTAAAATGAGTTAAAAAGGAGCGGTACTCTTAACAAAGCAGTGGCCAGGCTGAATAGCTTTTGAGGTGCTGTCAAGCTTGAAAGGAAGATTTTTCTTAAATAAGGAGAAATTCAGAGAAGCTGCCTTCAAAAATAAGAACTTGTTTTTGGCAGGAGAATGAACGAAATGCTTTGAGAGAAACTCAGATTCTCCGGAATTATTGTCATTTAATCTAAAATCAACTGCATAACAGCAATGCAAAATAGAATTGAAGCACCGTCATTTACAAGGTCTAGGTGATTTTCACATCTATAGAGAAGAAAAAACGGACACAATTCTGACCTGTTTAAACTTCACCTGAAGATTAAATTATGGTAATTATTAAAATTTATAAGAATTTGCCTTTATAACATACAATCTTTTAAATTTCTCTTTTTTTTGTTGTGTCCTGCCTCCCAGATTAAATTCCAAAGCACATCCTGCTGGCTTTGCGTACATATTATGTCCAAAATCTGACCACTGCTTGATCCTGCTCCAGACTGCTGGCATTTGTCACCTAGGTTTTGGCCCTAGCTGCCTAACAAAGATGGTCAGAAGCCGTCTTGCACTTCTGACCATTACTTGCCATAGGCAGAGTTGATACTTTCAGTCTGAGCCATATCATAATATACCTTCTAGTCTCAAAAGGCTTCAGTGATTTCCCATTGAGAAAGAAGTCAAATTCCTTACCATGGCCTATAAGAATATAACTGATGCCATCTCATTCCACATCCCACTACCCTTTAGAAAACGTTTTTTCCCCAGATATCCCCTTTATTCACTCTGTTATTCTGTTAGACACTACTCAAACACCATTAAGGCCTTCCTTGACCAGCTTATTTGATATTGAATCCTACCAAGACTTCCTTTCATCTTTTTCTTCTTTCCTCTTCTCTGTAGTGATTAGCATGAGCTAAAATATTATGTAATCTTGTTATTTACATTGTTGATCTTCCAAGTCCTGTGACAGCAGAGATTTTTGTCTTTTGGTTCAAAAAGTCCCAGTACCTGCAACAATGCCTGTCATAGGATTAGTGCTCAATAAATACTTGCTGAAAAGTTACAAATATTAGCAAGAGAAAGTTTAACAATGCTATGAAAACTGTTACAATATTAAAATGTTTTCAATTTGGGGCTTTTTCTTAATCTTTGTGCTCATACAAAAGTTTAAAAAGTAACTTTAGAACAGTATTCTATGAATAAACACACTAGTTTATTCTAAATTGAAATATTTATTTAAAAGTTTTAAGTTTTACTTTGACCTTGCACTTCATTTTTCTTAATGATTGTCTGTGTTTCATAATGGCATACAGAAATTATTTATTTGAATTCTCATTAGAATAGGACCAATTTCTCTACTTTGAAAGGCAAAGTGAAATTGACTGTACAGTAAACTTCAGCTATGCTTAATTTTCTAAGAAATGAGTTTTATGGATAATTACATTTTCTGAATAGATGGGAGTTACTATTTGTGAAGCAGCTTTTAAAACTGGATCTGCCCTGCTGAATTTCGTAGCCATCACAGCCCCTGTGCACTGCTTTGGATAAGGGTTCTCTGTTCAAAAACACCCTGTTAAAAGATACT